AAATAATTAAATGGGTAGAATTTAAATTTGGTTATGAACAGATGAATAAATTAAAAATCCAATCTGTGGGTTGTTGAGACTTGAATTTGAAATCCACAACTGCTAGATATACAGTAATTTATGGTGCGCGGCCCATTTTAATAACTCGGTAAATTTTTTCAAAAAGAATCTTTATAAATTATATAAAATAAATTGATGAATCAGGAAAGAAAACAGCGTTGTCACAAAGCAAGAACTTGAATTGTCGCAACTTCACTGTTGAATAATATTTAAATATTCAGATTAGATTATTTCGATTGAATGATACAGATAAATAATAATAATAATAGTAATAGCATTAAAAAAAAAACCACTTTTCATAGTACAATAGTTATTATATTGCATAGGATAATCAATTATCGAGGGATAAATTAAATTTATTGAGTTATCATCAAGGATTTAAACATTACCATTAAACTAATGTAAATTCACCGTAACGGTTTTATTATCATTAATCCTTGTGTCGTCAACAATAGTTAATGGCGAAAATTTCCAATGTCAGGTATTTGGCAGATGCAGCATTGCCGTAGTAACATAATTTCTTAAAACCATAGCCTTGATGCTTAAAATTGGCAATAAGGATAAGATGACAATAACAATTTTTGAACGTGCGACATGCCTCTATTGTGAACATTAAAAAATGTCCATTGTGGTTCAATTCGGATAAATGAATTGCAGGTGATTTTAGTGATTATGATTAAACAACATACGGTCTATAGCGTGTGTGCTATGAACGTTTGAACGCCAAACATGGTTAAATTTTGAAAAGAAAAGAAAAATGTTTATGAGCGTCATATGATGATTGCAAATTAGATGTTTAACAATTTGCATAAGTGCGGTGAGCGTTAACCATTATGCACATAAAATAACGATTCTTTGACGCTAAACAAAAATGAAAAAAACACTGGACAATACAAATTATCATTGAAAAACTGTTAATGACCGATCATTTTTGTAAGGATCTTTTCTGTTACACGTCGAAACTTATTTAATCCAAGTATGGTTCAAAGGTTGTTATTAAAACAGGTATTTGATATAACAAGAAAATTGCATCTATGAAAATAAGATGTTAAGAATGCTAACACGCATAAGAATTCCGAGTACAATTTGGCAATAAAAAGCAAGATATGCGTTATTTCACTTTGGATTGTAAGTAACAAGATTTTTTTTGTGGACTCATTTTATTACTTTTTTTGTCTTTTTTGTCGGATTTCGGAAATTCGATGATAGTCGGTGTTTGATTTCCTTGTGTAATTTGAGTTTCATACAACGAATAATTATCTCCGCCAGTTTTAGATAAGTCACAGATAAGATGTGTCTAGCACGTACGTACACACTTCCGTGTAATTCGAGGGTCCGGAGAACCAAGTTTAACCATTAACAACATATCATTCAGGACAAAAGAAAAAGATTATGGCTTGAATTGGTTACACGCAGGAGTTCTAAGCTTGGTATTATTTCGAACTTGTAAGATTGTGGAACGAACAGAAAGTACTAGGGAAATTGTGAAACTTCACATTTATAGTCACCCACGTGATGCCAATATAATAATAGCTCGCATTTCGGTTAAAAATAATAATGTGTGCACTGGTACAGTGCATGCGCATCCACGTAAGAGCGCACACCCAAGACTTGTCAAACATATCGCCATCATCCTGGATGCATGTAACAATGTTCAATCAGAATATCGAGAGTAGGGTAGCTTCCATAAGTCGATTTCTCCCCCTGGATTGTAAGAGAATCCAAGTAATGTGAATAGAAATTTTTGTCAGTGATACGTAACCAAATGCGCGACGTGTCGTCGCACTATATACTGTAGGTCCCGATTAGCATGAAATGCGAATTTGGCCCCTAAAGATTACGTACGTACGTGCGTACCATCGTTCAGTTTAGTCAGTTCATTGACGCCTTCAATCAAGACCCCACGCATAGATTCGGCTTGTGTCAGAGTAAAACGGCGAGTCCAACAAGTATTATACAGTATAAATGCGTGCGTATAGATGTGAACAATTATTGTCGCATAAACACTCGGACAATATCAAATGGAACCATCCGTTTTGGGAAAAATCGAATTAAAGCCTAAACGGTCGGCTATTGATACGTACCAAATACGCATTCGACAGCCAGGATAATTCTCAGAATGTTATTCGAGCGTCAGTTGCTATACTTTGAAAAGCATAACGGTATGGCAATCACGGGATGCCTCGAGAACACGAAGATATGCCGAGTGACTTGAAATGAATGTAACAACAGCAACCCTACCAATCAACAAATAACCATGTCCTCCGCCAAAGTCCCTATCATACCATAATTGTCTTTATACAGCAAGGCGAAACACAACATTTCAAGTCATACGATGGAACCAGTCGATGGCACACAAGCGTTCAATGAAATGTTAGCGTAACCCGTGTATTACTACTAATTGACACGAACCTTAACGGTTTGAACATGATCCCGAGTCGACAACGAGACGCGTTGAAACTTTCTTGGAGCATGCCTCAAGGGAGGAGAAGATGGATCTCATTTTTGGCTTAGAGGTAAATGCCTTCGCCGAACGGCAACGAAAATCTTAACTCGGAGACAAACAAGATCTGCAGTAATAAAATGATGTTAACGGTTACATTGTAATTATTATTAATCTAATAAAATGTCGTTCATAATTAAAATCCTGTGAACAAGATTTTTTATCGAAAAACAGATATGCGTGCGGAATTGTTTTTCTATCTTCACATTAATAATTTGATTTTACATGCTTATGTCAGCAAAGATGAGAAAAAATTGGTTTTCTCGGGATTGGACACTCAAACGGCTGCATACATCCGAGTAACAACCAAAAATACAGTGTGTTGAATCGATTACAAAAAAATTTCTTTCGAACTTTAGTGATCGCTACTGGGACTACAGTTTTACATTTACTTTTTCCTGCGTTATCCAATAATGAATAGAATGTGTGCCAACTTCATGCTATGTTGACAACGGATTTTCCTTTAACCACATTGGCGGACTCCTGTAGTTACCTGCAGTCGGTAAAAAAATAGAAATTTTATCGCTCGTATCACGTTCCACTCGATGATTATTTACAAACATGATTTCGTCAAATCATATATGCATTCCGGTGAACCTACAGAATTAGGCTTAGAGCGTTCTTCCTTCTTAAAGTGCAACTGGTCGACAAACAAACAAGCGACCGATTGGAAACGTAATAACCAATGCGCTATGAATGTGCGAGATCCTGAGTACGGCAAATTGGCAAGTTCGTGCAGTCCCTGGTTTTTCTGAAATGTGCAATTTCGGCGAGCAGCCCAATGAGATCACACTGTCGTGAGTTCGGGTATTCACGCATTAACGGCACGCAAATTAAATTTGTGGTTTTATCTACGCCAAATTCACAGCGGAATAACCTAAGTGTCTCGGGATAATGAATTCGGTGGGTTACAATTCGTCGTGATTTTCAATTAAGTTGTTGTGATGCAAGTCTCATTGTTTCGTCGATTCTTGGAATTAATTTGAATTCAGTGTCACGATATCTGTCAAGACGTATTCGCCTGCAGTCTTTAAATCTCGGGTCAAGGTTGTTGGTTGATTAAGGCTCCCAAATCCAGTTATCACAATGCAATGCGCATGCGAGGCGGCATTTCAGTTATCTCGTGTAATCACAAATACAACTTTGCCTCTTCAGCTGCTTGCTTGAATGCAAAAGTGATTGATTTGTTTGTACGCGTATGAATGCGCTCCTAAAATTTAATTAATCGCCTCAACACCGTGTTTTTTTTTTTTTAAGCGAAGTTTGATGTACAATATACTGTATACAGCATATGTTTTTCGCAACCAGATTTTAGGGGGTTACCGACTTTTGATCACGTGCCATGACGTACGCTTGAAACCTATTACGTAAAGAGGTCAAATGATCTTGAGATATGCAATAAAGCCAACGATGGTGGACAGGAGACGCAAACAAAGCAAAAAAAAGTTCGATAATGCAATGACTTGAAAGCGCATACTGTAACTCGTGATGTACGGTACGTACACACACCTTCGCAAGAGAAGGGGGCACACTATTTTCCTGACGAAGATGCGAGGTCGAAATTAAATGAAACGATAAGGTAAGAGTGCTTTTTTCAAAGTCAACATTTTTTTTTTCATTGTGACACAACGATATACTGCAATAGGTGAGATTCCAAGATGCTGCGTCCCCATTACGTTTGCTTGCGATACCATTTATGGTGCATGCGGTTGCTGTTCCACGCGATGAGAATATCTATGTCTCTTGACCACGCGGTTGTTAGGAAGTTCTCTGCCGAATGGTGAGATTGCACGAGATTACGCATTCGTTAAGCGACGTGTGTATGACGATAAAATGGTATGCGGCCGTGGCAGGAATGCGAGGTGGCACGAATAATGCGTTGTGTGCGCGATAAGAAGGGACGTAAGATCGATCGATGTCGAATTCGAATACCAGAGTGTCCAAGCATTCACACGCATCACGAAAACTATCATCAATAACTGCGCGCGCGCGCATTAATTTCATGGTGAATAACAATCAGTGATTGGCGATTAGTGATTATGATTGTTTATTGTTAGATTTTTTAAAAATTTTTGTTACATTTTTTTGTATAATTGGCGTCGGTCGCACGAATAGCATTGTGCCAACCGGATCCACAATCTTTTATCGATTTTGAATCAATCAAGTTGTATAACGGACATGTGAGAGGAAGCAGGAGAGAAGGTGAATCCCTAATGCTAACAACCGAATGATCGTCAATTGATTTCCAAATGAGGAATGTCGAAGCTCGATATTAAATGAGTGGGCCGAATAGGAAACATGGGAAACAAATCACCCGGCAGTCACTTGTGTAATGACCAATCATTGATGGAAATTTAAATTAATAGGTGTTGCAAATCGTTATCAAATAACATTATTAATTATTCGCAAAAAAAAATAAACAAAATGCTGCATCATTTCAATTAATTGGTTTCCTTTCTCTGGTCAAGTGTTTTGTTGTTTCACTTTGACTCGCAGAACCTCCCGGAGGGGTGAGCTGGGGAATTCCTGGTGAGCAAGTGCTCTTCTGTTCTAAGGGCATTCCCGAGGCAGGACGAGTGTACGGACGATTTGGTTCGACGGCAGCGCACAACGAATCGACGGACGTCCACTCGATGCGAACACGAACGAGGTTCTCCACGAGAAATGGTGTTGTTTTATGGGGGAAAAGGTATCTTTCCGATGGTGGGCACCTTCGGTTTCGAGGTCGATACATTGTGGCTTCGGTCATTGAGCGGGTGGATTTTTTTTTTTTTTTTTGAAATAAATGTGCACCAACAATCTAATTGCCGCGTGGCAAATAATTTCTGCAAGGTCGGAAGTTGTCATGCAAGGAGTTAGTTAATTCGCATTGTTGGTTGGTGAGACGTCTTAATTACATTAATTAAAAGTAAACAAACAAAAAGAAGCAAAAAGATATACAACACTTCCATGAAAATTCATCCATTGTGTGTTCCACAACCAGGCATGATAAGATTGTATTCGATCTATTTTCACTCCGTCATCACAGATGGTGTGCTTGCTTGCTTCCATCGTGACCAACGGAAATCGTACTTTTTTTCGTCGTGGAAAATCGCTTCGTCACAAAAGGCAAGTCAGCATGACCGCAATAAGACCGAGAGTCCTTGCAGCACACTTTTCGTAAATGAAACCCCGGTGCATACTGCGGCATGGCGCCACAAGTCGCCTGACACAGTCAAAAATCAAAAAAAGAAAAATCGGTCATCCACAATAAAAAGCAAGAAAGAATGAGAATTAGGAATTGGTTTTGTCGGAATGATCACTTGGACCCTGAATGCACAATTGTGATGCTCTTTTCACGTTTTTTAATTGTGAGTTGATAAGCGAATTAGTAAACCCGCATTTCTCGCAACATCCTGCGAGATTGCCTTTTTTTTTTCTCTCTTTTCCCGATGGCGTCAAAAAAAAAAAAAAAATAAATAAATAAATTTTTTTTTTTTTGGTAGTAAATGCATGCGAGCGTGACCTTGGGGAATTACTGTATATCAGGAATTTTGAGTTTGAGTTTAACGAACTCGCAAATGAAAAGCTTTCTTTACTTTGTCTGGTAGAGAGCACTTTCTGTCACACACACCGAGGTGTGCTCTGCGCTTACCAAATTTAGTCGGCATAAGAATCTGTGTCATCGAACATCTGACGAAAAAAATTCATCTTTCGTTCCGTTTCTGGTCGCAAGAAAATCCTCGCGGAAATTCTTGTCATATGCCGTCTGACAAAAGACGTAAATGCCAGGGGATCGTTTGTGTGTGTCACTGGAGGAAAATTTGACTCCATTCGAACACCCGGCGAAAAAATCTTTTCTTTTTCGTTTTCCTTCGTTGCGAAGAAAATCCTTGCGGAAATTCGGACACACCCTGTAAGTCTGTCATATGCTGTATGACAGAAGACGTAAATGCCAGGGGATCGTTTGTGTGTGTCACCGGATGGGAATTGTTGGCTTGTAGAAAGCATAATGTCGATGGGTAATATTTAATCCTAGTACCGAATTGATGGTCCATATTAATTCTCCATATGGCTCAAGCACGGAGCATGCGTATACTTTTGCTTACAGAATATTGATGATAACTTATGTGAGGAAAATTGCATGTATTTGGTAAGCAAACAATTTAATGTCGATGCTACCTTACCATACATGGATTTTAATAATAAACTGTGTCTCGGTCAATCGGACCTAATCTGGTGAATAAGGGGGTACAATATAAAAGCGTTAATTTATTATGTATGATGTTCCATCGAGATTTTTCGCATTTCCTCACACACCGAAACATTAATACTCAGAAGTGGATATCAATATGTACAGAAAATCCAAACCTTGACTGCATGCTATTGTTGATTATACATGCAAGGGGGACTTACTTTAACTATGAAAAAACAAAAATAATAAAGAACTTTGAATCATGAAAAAATTTAGCAAGCTTTTTTTGAAAGCATGAATGTAGCATGCCGATAATTAATTGAATTATCCACGTTGATTGCATTGTCATGATTGCCTTGCGTGTGACGTGATCTGATGTGACGTGTGTGATCCTTCAGATTTGTTTCAAAAAAAAAAAAATATGGCATATGTTATTATCGTATACAGTATTTGTGGGTAAATCGACGAAGGCTATCCATTGTGGGTTGGACGGACGGATGTGCACCATTTCAATCTTCTTTGCCGGCAAGTTCATTCCAACTCTTCTTCCCTCGTTGTCATCTGAACTTGACTTGCTTCTCCGAAAACCCTGGGCTTCGTGCCCAAAAATGAGAATGGGCCGCGGGCTGATTGACATCTAGGATTGGTCAACTGGTTAGCCGGTTGGTTAAAAAGTTCATCCAAGAATTTTGAACATCTTGGTAACCGAAAACACATATCACACGAGACAGGAATCATTTGAACGATAATCCCGTGCAATCGGTAAATCTCAACTTTTCGATTTATCATTGTTTTCACTTCTGATGGGCGCGATTGACGCTTGTGATGACGGATTGTTTTTCAAAAATCAGTTGGCGCATTTTCAGGGTGCATGAATAAAGATCGATTCGTGAGGCGTCCGAATAAAGTATCATTGATGCGATAGCAGTGCTGTGTGAACGTACCAGAGCCATGATGGTAAATGTTATTACATTATTCTGATTATTGTCGTTAGGGCGGTTGTTTTTCAATTCATTTCAACACTTATTTGTCATATAGCAGTAATGACCTCTTAGAAGCCCTGAATGAAGGACCCGATGAGATGAGAACAACCGTGTGTGACGCAGAGGATGGAGATCTTCAAGAATAATGAATATATTGAACCTTGGAGATCCAACGCGAATCTCTGGATGAACGACGTGCTAGATGTATTGAACATTCATACTAAGACAAATTTCCAAATGATACAATATTGGTTTGGTAGATTGTTTGATGCAAATAATTAATTGCATCTCGCATACACAACTCCCACACACCCAGATGCCAATTAAAAAAAAACCGAATCGAATCACACCGTATCACGTTGTTTCTTTAATTGGAAGTTTATGACGTTGGCTTTTATTTTTTTTTCCTCGGCAAAATACCGTCTGCATATCTAAAAAAGTTGCAACGCTACCTTGTCACCTTATGGCAGCACCTGCTGCAAAGGGAATCAAAAAGAGAAACACCGCATGCACTTATGTATTGTATTGGTCATGTCTCACGCTACTATTATCTCCTCAAAGGATAATATCAAAATTTTCAGTACACATTATCTGCCGGTTTGAATTCCAGTCCGGTTTTCTTTGCGTTGATCCCTTTCACCATTCATAATGGTTACCCAACTTGGACCGGCGCATGGTGCCACAATCACCTCTGGTCTTTTCTTCTTTCCTTCCTTCCTTCCTTCCTCCCTTCCTTCTCTCCTTCCTTCCTTCCTCCCTTCCTTCCCTTCCTTCCTTCCTTCTTTTTTTTCTCTCATCCGATTTCGGATGCAGTGATGGCCTAGCTAGGCCATACGATTCTAACGGCGAAATTTCATTTCAGTTCTTTTGGGCCAACCGCTTTTGGACAATCATATTATTGATTATTCTCCATTTTTACATCATCACAACACTATTATGCTCGTATTCCACTCGAAATTTTCTCGTAAAATTTATCCCTCTCACACGCATTGGTGGTTTGTTGTACACAATGTGTTGCGGGATGACCGGGCGGGTGTGATACCAATTTATTGCTTGACGAATTCGGAATTTACAAAAGAAGCGAAGAGAATCACACGCATGAATACAGTATGCAATATTCGAGAAAAGTAGGTATCAATAAGCATCAAGGCTTGACTATTGCCGGGAATGGAAATCAAGAAGAGGTGTTAAATCGACTGTGCAGCAAATATGGTTTAATTACTGTATGTTAATCACGACGTTTTCGATTTCCTTCGTCCGTCCTTCCCGCGATTCTCCGTACATCCTCCTCTCCTCGTACCGCCCGAGACCAGACCATCACCATCACCACCACCACCACTTAGGTCTCCCGTCGTTGCATTCGCGTGTGACCTCCAAGAATACGATACGATTACTAACGCAACGGTGATAATCTCAATTATTATTATTTTCCTATCTCAACCTAATTAATGTGTCGATGCAACACTTATTACCTGTTACGCACCATTCAGACGAATCAAGCATGTCATATTCATCCGTATACATACATTATATTTCCATTTCTATATACGTTTCCTATTGCTCATTCTTCCGACATGAAGGAACCAACCAACCAACCAACCAGCCAAAGGACACACGCACAAACAACATACGTCACTCACATTGGTTCGCTCATTCTGCCTCCTCCACCGGCTGACGACGCTATGGTCCTTTTTCCCTGGCACCATGGCGGATATTGAAAGACCTTCCCCAACCGTCCATTTGGCTCATCTACTTCCAAAATAACATATCGCAAGATGCAGGATGAAATTATGGCTTCCAAAATTGCAAATTCCAGCGCACCGTGTAACCCCAAGGTCAACGATTTTCCGAAACAGATTGGTTTCACGCTGGGCGAATGACGACTTTTTAGTGGTTTACGAATTTTTTTTCCGCGTGGAACGTTCGCCAGGGTGGTGAGCTGAAGGTGAAGAGGAGGATGGGGGAGGACAGCAGGGGGTGTTGGGTGAGGACGACGTGTGACTCTGGGTGGCAGGCAGACTTGGTGCGTATAACCAACTGCATGCCGTGATAAAAAATTATTTCTAAAAATTGCCGAGTATGAATGCTGTTGTCGTGCATGTGACACTGGATGTGGTGGTGACCTTCAAATTCTGCGTGATCGTTAAACAATATCATTGAAAGATATCATCGATATCATTGCAATTGGGATGATATAAACCGGAACTGATGACTTGCCTGATCATCGCTTGAGAAAAAAATGAAAATGGAAATGAAAATAAAGAAAAAAAAAAGTAAAATAATAATAATAATGATAATAATAAACAGCATAAAATAAGGGTACAATAAAAATAAAATAAATCTCATTTTAGACATAATAGGTTCCTTCGGTTTTAGAATGGAGGGTGCACGGTAACTGACCTAATAACGACAATTAGAGTGTGTGCAGGATAGTACAAATTATAGAAAAAAAGATGACGACTATGGTATAAATATAAACGTATGGTGCAAATTGAAAATTTTTATTTATGTTGCTTTTTTAGGTACCTTGCGGACCGGTTGGTTCACCGTATATATATAAAAAAAAAAAAGTAGTTTAAAATAATATTTTTTTTTTTTTTTTTTTTTTTTTGAATTATAAATATACGTACACCCCATTCTGTATAAATATATTTCGTACTCTATGAGACTAGGTGAAATTAATTTCTATTTCTGTCCGCTGCTGTGCATAATAATTGCCGTACTATTTGGTAGATATCAGTAGTTTAAAATTTATTAAGTTTCAGGTTGTTTTTCTATAAATTAACAGCAATTGCTTCCACGCAACCATCTTCTTTCCACCAAATAAAGAGGTTCGTCCCCCTTTATCAAATATATATATATATATATATTTTTTTTTTTTCCCCTAAGAAAAAAAAAAAAAAAAAATACTCAAACAACTTCAGGATAAATTGTTAACGTCTCCGCGCTGACAACGGATTTATTATTACTCGACTCAAAGGATAATCTCTCTCCGACCTTTTTTTTTTTTTTTACTTTGTCAAAACAACAGACAAACAGAAATCTTCTTCCTGGTATCTATCATTTTTACGAACTTTTTCTTTCAAATAAATATCTCGTGACGTTTCTTTTTTACCGATATATCGACCCTCTCTTCCTCCAACCTTCCCTTCTAAAAAAAAAAGAAAAAAAAAACAATAACAATGAAGACCAGTAACATGTTCTCACGTAACCGCAAGATTCACAACCCGTTCAAGAGAAGAAACTCCTCCAGCAAATCACAACATTCACACAGCGTTCATCAGCAAAACATCATAAGCGCACTTGGGGGAATTCCCCATGATTTTGACTACGATTTCCAATCAGCAACGGAAACACCGACCGTCTATTCTTCAAGGAGGAGTTCGATCTACAGCTTGGACTCAACGATGGGTCCGAGATTTGGTCCAAACCATCACATGTACGCCTATTATCAGACACCGAATCAGGTGGACTCCGAAAGGCACCACCAACATCACCATCACAACAGCCAATGCTGTCACAATGTGAATTGCAAGCAGAATAAGAAGAGCAAGAGAAATAGCTCAGATTCTTACAGTCCGAGGCGCAGTTTCATTGGCTTCAAGCTTTGGCTGAGGTTGACCTGGGTGAAGGTGGGAAGAACCTTCCGTTGAATGGTGGACCTCAATCATCATCCTCATCACTATTATTATCATTATTATTATCATTATTATTATTATATAATTATTATTCTTTATTTGCCTATCCTATTCCTCTATCACCCATCAATTAACCCTCCGCATACGAACAATCACCACTTGGTATTATACTTCCCTGGACAATTGATTGCCGAATCTTTGTAAAAAAAAAAAAAAATGTACAGTTTTTTTTTTTCCTTCTTCCACCACCTCTTCTTAATCACAATCACCTCACAGGGTGATTGTTGACAGCGACTCTCGGACTTATCGTACGATGCGGCTTCAATGAGGATCCCAGTTTGCAATACGAAAAGTATTATCACGATGACGATGAACTTTTTACTTTTTTGATGGACACAATGGGAATAGACAAAAAAAAAAAACAAACATTTTCGCATGGGCTTTCTTCGATGTTCACATCGAGAAAGAAATAGACTTCTGTATATAGTATCGCATTTTTTCCTTTTCACGGGCCGGACCGGTGAACATCCTCCCTTCCTCTGACTCCCTTCCTACCTCCCTCTTTCCTTCCCCAACTATATACATTCTTTATTGATACGTCAAGTATTAAATTTCGTTATTGACAAACACATTTTCGTTCTTTTTATCGCACAGAGCATAAACTTTCGAAGGATTTCACAAACACAAACACATTCCTCTGTTAATACAATTTTTCACGTTTTTTTATTTTTTCTCTTAATGATAATTTCGTAATCGTTAGTTTTTAATTCACTATACATATTTCGTTATTTCTAATAGAATGTACATACTCATTAGACGTTTCATTAACTCGGAATTAGCCAATTCCCGCAATTATATATACGACAATACACTTAGAGACACCTTCCGAAAAAAAAAACTTTTTTTTTTTCTCGTCATGACATCACAAACATCACAAGCACATTATGATTGTAAAAAAAAAAAAAAAAAAAAAGCTGCGCTTTCACAATAGACTTTACATAGACTATAGATTTTCATTAAAGCATTTCATCCCCATCATCCATCAACATAAGCTAATTTTTCCATTTCGCGTTGTAAAGTTATGTAAAATTTAAATTTTCACAACATCCGCATTTCAACACACTTCCATTGTCATCTCGCATCCTCATATTCACATTATGAAAAAAAAGATTTTTTTTTTTTTTTTCTTTTTCACATTTGATATTTTGTCTCCAGAAATTGTAAAATATATATACAGTATATATATATATTTTTTTTTTTACTTGAAGAAAAAATAAATTTCAATAAATATCAAAAACATGACCCTCTGTTGTAAAAAAGAAAAAAGTGCGCATTCCCAAATTTACAAGTGCAAAAGTGTCTCGAGTCTTCCTCTGCTTTCTCTTTTTTTTTTTTTTTTTGCCCACCGTCGTCCATCTTTCGGTGTGTGATACATTTTGCTCATACGCACGCACGTATAATTTCGCGTGGGTCTCACCATTCTTAAAATAAGATTTCCTGGCTTGTGCGATGCATCAGGTGGGTTGTCAGAAGAAGCACAATTTGTCACGCAGGCGACACACCACGAATGGAGAGAAGAGTAATTAAAGCTAAACCAATTATGTGCTCGTAAATTAAGAAAAGGTAAGAGAGGCGACGACAAATAATGAATCACCGCATAAACAATATGCACATATTTTAGAACCAAAGCCGCAAACTTGTCTCCACCCTCCCCGCTAACAATGAAACCTTTTTTTTCTTTTTTTTTTTCTCGACATCTTTGTTTTCGAATTAACCGTCGAATGAGCGTGCACATCCTGCCGATTGCGCTGAATGAGAGTTGAATAAAGCAAATCAGCATGATATTTTCACAACGTTTTCCTTTCTTTACATAGTAATTTTCACGCGGTTTTTGGTTTTTTTGAGAACGAGCTTATTTTATTTTTCATTTGATTTTTGAGCGGAGCCTAAGTTGGTCGTCGCTCGCACTCCGTCGACAGGTGCCATTTTTTTCCCTGCATTTCATGCGGTAACTATTTGTGACAAATAATTAGGGCGCTTGCCATCCATCAGCCAACAACAACAATTAACCGATTGCAACGAAACAAATGACGAAAAAAAAATATATATAGATAAATAAATGATAACGACGATAACAATGATGATAATACCGATGATTAAAAAAATAGTGACAATGAGAGATAAGAAAATGGCGCATGACTGCGACGCACGCGTTTCCTGGGTTATTTGGGTAGCTGGTTTGGTGGGTGAATGGTTGATTTTGGTATTGTGAGTGATGGAATCACCGGTCGGTGAGAATCTACTGGTGTCAAATACGCATATCGATTTTATACTAGCGCTCATGTACACCTCTCGACTGTTGACAATTCCGTTGTCCCTTCTGCTGCACGCCACACCTTTTATTTTGACCGTTCATTCGGGATCTGTGGTGGTGCCCACATTATTCTTTTTTTGTTTTGGTCTTTATTAAGGATAGACGGAGATCAGGAAATAATATAACGGGTAGTCTATAAGGTGACATATGGAGAACTATTCGTTGATCAGCATACATAGGATGAGAACAGGCACAAGATCAGGATTGGAAAACAGTTAAAAAAAAAACAGTTAAAGGGTGCCTTGTGATCGTCAAGTCGACAGGTCACGAAATCCTTTGTGCCCATATTAAAAAAAAAAAAGATTTTTTTTTTTTTTTTCTTCTTTTTTTTTTTTTTGCACCGGTATGATGGATGGCCTTCTCTCTTTTCCTCTCATCTTCACCGGAATCAATCAAAGTTGCTAATCAATTGCCAAAGGTGGAACACAGGTTACATGCAAAGGCCAAGAAAGAGTATCAAAGTCCGAAATTCGGGTATTAAGGTATTATTGGGAAAGAACAAAGGCAAAGTATAATAATAAAGATATCGTTATTTGACAAATTTGAGGAATTTGATTGGTGCACGAGTGCGACGTGTTATTGTTATGACAATGTTCTCCTTTGTTTCCCGGAAAATCAATTTCTGACGAAGAAAAAAGGTCATGCCCGCTCGGTAAACATCCCGTGATGGTTTCATTCTTATTCGGGCGTTCAATGGAGTTCGAGGGTGAGTTCGTTAATTTAATTATTTAATTAATTGATGTCCTTCCTTGCATTCATCCCCGTTCACCACAATACCATGTTATGTGCTGCCTGATTTGTTGTTATTCGGTGGTGATGACAGAGGGTTGGCATTGGTGACCGTCGGTAGGTGTGGTGGGCAACGATGATTAAGGAAATGTTGAATGCGCGAATTCATTAAAAAATCATGAACCTTTCGAGAGTAAGCGTGCAAAAATCGTGCAAGGTTTCTTGGCAAATTTAAAAATGGAAAATTTTCTTTCTTATCGGGAAATTCATTGTTGACGATTCGAGTTTTTCGCATCATCAACTCTTCCATTTCGTGGTTGCCAATTGAAACCTCCTGGCGGGATGAACGAATCGAATCACGACGTAGGGAGCAGATGAGAATTTTAATGAAAATCCCGCAAATCCCTGTGAGAAGG